GAACGGAGAAGTGGTGCCTCGATGCGCACCCGGGGTTCCGAACCCGGGCCACCAGCATCGCAGCGCGCGCACTTAACCACCAAGCCACAGGGCCGGCCCCGGAAAAGCATTTAATGATGATGATTTGCTTGTACTTAAGTATTTGCTTAAACACTACCTTTCCTGCACCCAGCTGCTCCTTTAAGGAAAATTCCTTCCCTTTTCTCCCCAAATCCAATCACACAAAACAGACACAGCTGTGAGGAGAGAGGGACACAAGAGACGGTGCCGCTCTGGGCGGTCAGGGGAGCCAGATGTTCAGGGAAATCCTAGAGGAGAATGCTTTTTGAACTTAAAAACACATTTCTGTTCATCCATTAGGCAACACAGAATACACTGCAATCAAGAAAACCATTTCCCACTAGCTGGGCTGTGTGGTGTCCCAAGGCCGTGACTCTGACATGACATTACAGCCCTCAAATGATGGAGCCTTTTGGAAAGACCACTGGGCCTCTAGAGTTGTTGGTTCCTGGTCACTTTCAGAGTGTGAGATAAAGGTCTGGGGCACCGTTCAGGGCCAGGAATCCTGGGGCAGGCTCCACACACTAAACTGGGTTTTGACTTTGCTTTCTAAAATAACCTAATTGCCTTCGTTTTTGTCCCCAAGAGATGCAGTGCTACTCTCCCTTTCCCATCTTTCGAAGTCCCCGGATCCTCAGTCAACATTTGCTCATTTCCTAGAGCCCCATTCTTGGACCATGGCGGGCATCAGACACACACCTCCGCCCTCCTCCCCCATCCACCAACGTTCTGTTCAGTGCTGCCACACATTTGGGGTCACAACTCCAGAGACCTTAAGAGTTCCCAGTTATTAAAAAAAAAAAAAAAAAAAAGAAATATATGTTAAAAACAAAGTCTTCCTTTTATCCTCCTCCTCTCTACACTCCCTCCCCACCATTCCCACCTGAAGGAGGATTCTAGCTGCCGATAACTAGCCTCAGATCCAGTTTCCATAAAAGAGAGTAAAAAATTAGGTTTCCGTGGCACTTCGCTCCCAGCCACGTGCTCTGTGGTGTCACTGTCAGGAGGTGCCAAATGCTCTCGCTCACCAATGGGACTATGAATAAATTAGATGTTTTCTTTGACAGCGCCAGCCTCAAAGCTGCTCCATCACGCGGTGCCTTCCCAGTCGCCCTGGGGCTCCACTGCGCCGTTGGTCACCTTCTTGACTTTCTTCATATTCTCCATGACCCCTGATGTCGTCACTCTGAACAAGGAGAAGGACAATTAGGAAAATCTGAGTCTTACGGTAAAGGCCATCTGCACCACGGCCCAGGGGTCAGGAGTGGGTGCGGGTGGTGGCTCTGGAACCAGGCAGACCTGGGTTTGAATCCTGACCTGCTCCTTGCTAGCTGTAACCTCAGCCAAGTCATATGGCCTCTCTGTGCTGAAGTACTAAATAATTCCCACTTTCCAGAACTGTCACGAGGGAAAAATGAGACTCTCCAGGGCACCTAATCAATACAAATCAGCTGCTATTATTACAATCAACATTAATCTCTTTTTGTCATGGCCTCCATTAATTTTTATTTATTTAACCTTAGTTATGATTACGAGACCAGTATCTGTATCAGTAACATTCAGAAAAGAAAGCTAATCAGCTGTAGACATTTATAATAACCAGCCATGATGGATCACTGCTGAGTCATGGGACAGAGCCACAGGTTTGGAGGAACATTCTGGGCCCAAACATTCTTTCACCATCAGAGAGGGAGAACTGGCTGCTTTCTGGCCTCTGCGGGCTGGGGCTGGGGCTGGGACCGTGCAGCTGCCAGTCAGCACGTGGCTCTGCCTCCACTGTGCCCCCAGGGCAGGGCCTCATTCTCTGTCGGGGCCTGGCCCTGGGGAGGTGCCACGGAGCCCTTCACTGAATCCAGGGATCAAAAAAGGAAGAACACTGGACTCAGAGAGCTTGAGGAGCCGAGCGTGGTGGCCCTTTCCATAGAGTGAATCATAACATCTCTCGAGTGGTGGGTCTATGAGAAGACAACCTCTTGCCTCACAAAACGTGAGCTAGACAGATGCTAAGGATCTCTGTATCTACGAAGGAACTGGGTGGCTCCACAGCAGGAGACACCAGGCAGAGACACTGAGCTCTACCTGGTAGGCGGAACACAGAGGATTTTCAGGGCGGTGCAACTCTGTATGAGTCTATAATGGTGGAGACATGTCATCACACATTAGTCCAAACCCATAGAAGGTACAACACCGAGAGTGAGCCCTAATGTAAACTGTGGACTCCGGGTGATGATGATGGTCATTGTAGGTTCATCAGTTGTGACAGATGGATCACTCTGATGGGGATATGATGGTGGGGGAGGCTGTGCATGTGTGGGGTGGGGACTATATGGGAAATCTCTGTACCTTCTGTTCGATTTTGCTGTGAACCTAAAACTGCTCTAAAAAATAGTCTATTGAAAACAAGCACACCTGGGCCAACATCTCCCTAAGTCCTCTCGGAAACAATGAGGCACCTATGTTCCCCCATCATGGACCAACAGGAATTTCCTAAACAGTAAAACAAATTCAATCAATCGACTCAACAGATTCTCTCCAGGGAGCCTACCTATCCCCCCACCAACTACCAAAGCCTGTCACCTACAGATGGTAACTCAGTGGCCCTATATGTGACACATTTAGAGTTTGTCCAGATGGACCTAATAGTAGATCAATGATTTTATACGGGGTAAGGAAGGAAAATTTTTTTCTCCCTTTTTTCCTTCTTCCATTCCTGACACCATGCTGCTGCTGTGACCAAGCCTCAAAGCTATCCAGTTCTCCCCAGAGGTGGGACTTTTCTCAAACAAGAATCCTTCAGACTCGTGGGTTACGTACGAAAGTTGAGACAAGCTATAATGCCGGGACATGGTTCTCGTGGGAACTGAGGGATCCTGCAGATGCTGTTAGTGATGTAAATGCGGCCCCCACACAGGGAAAGCGCCTTGAGAGCAGCCAGCACCACTCCTGTCAGCTGGTCACATCGCAGGCTGACCTCACTAGGAAGAGACCACGCTTTTCCCAGGAGGAATCCACGCACACAGGGCTGCTTCTAAAGGGACCTTCTCTAGACTGGGACAAGGGAGGTGGTGCAGCTGAAGGACCAAGGGAACCATAAGCCTTTCCAGCTCCAGCAAAACCCCTACACTTCTCCAAACATGCTGAGATCAGAGAAGAAATGCACCCTCAAGTCTTCCAGAAACACTCGCCGTAACAGCCAACTGTTCGGCAGCCACTGCACCTTGTTAGAAAAGGACAAGGAGTTCAACACGTGCTGACACAGAGCGGCACATTCACAGTGACCCGAGCGTGGCTCAGACCACGGGATGGGAGGACATTTACTACCTTTCTTTCCCTAAGGAAATACTCCCTTCCAGGTGGTGGACCAATGGAGAACAAGGCTCTCTCTTCCGTGCAGGTGCTGGGACAGAGAGGGGCAACACGGGACTGGTGCTCTTAGGGAGCCCACGGCCAGCAGAAGAGGCAGTCTTGCAGACCAACGCACGAAGTCCTTATAACAGACAGTAGTGCTGGGGGCAGGTCTGATGATGGCTCAGGTGAGAAGAAGCACCTCTGTTGCGGGAATCAGGGGGAGCTTTGAAGCTTGTATGGAAAGATGAGGAGCAACAAGATGGAGGGTGGGAGGAGAGCAGGGGTATCTCTGAAAAGAAGAAAGGTAACAGGCAAAAAGCATGGAAGAAACAAAACAAAGTTCCTGGGCACAGTCAGAGAGCGCGAAGGAAAGTGGCAGGAGAGTCCAGCGTGGGCAGGCGGGGCCATGGCGGCCTTGTCACCAGTGGCTGAACTTGGCTCTTATACCAGGGTCCTCAGCCCAGGCTCCAGCAGGACGCCCCCGGGGAGTTACAGAAGCATAGAGATACCCGAGGCCAGACATTCAGAATCAAGTCTCCAGGGGAGGGGCCAGGGAACTTACTTCCAAAAAACTCTCCAAGTGAATCTGATAGCCGAGGAGAACAGACAGGGGGAAGATGAGAGGTGAGGACACCAGCCATACGAGGGCAGGGCACTGGGATAAAGCAGGGAGAGGGATGGGAGACATGATGTTAGGCCCCCAAGATGTGGTCACTCACTCCAGGTGGTCCAAAGAAGTGGGAGGGGTTTAGGCCCACGCCAGTGTTCTGCTGCTGGTGACTGGGTAGACGGCGGAGCTGTCAAGGCCCCTACAGAATGACGGGGATAGGCGAGCTTGGGATGACGGTGGGCAGGTGGAAAGGGACCAGAAGCTCAGGAGAGGCATGTGGGCTGGAGCTCAAGGTTGGGGAGCACTCATGGGACGGATGGTCAAGGCAGCCTTGGGCGTGGGTGGGCACTCGGAGAAGAAGGAGAATGGAAGCCTCCAAGGCTGTGGCAGGGGAGCGTGCCAGCACAGAAGGGTGTCACAGGCGCAGCAGGCACTGAGGAGGTTTCGTAAGTGACCTGGAGCAGGAGCTGCTGAAGGGCACTGAAACAGACCAAGACACCTGATGGCAGGGACGCTGGCTGGGCCAGTAAACCTTTGGGAAGGCAGGACAGCTTCTGCTGGAAATGGGCGTTGGGCCCATTTCACTTTGGGAAGTGAAAGGGATGCCTGGTGCCCAAGGGGAGCAGCTAAGCCTGGCCAGCCCCCTGCAGATGTGCTTCCCGTCACAGCTCAAACACTTCAGCAGTGACAAAGGAGACCTAGGGTAGGCTGACACCCTAAAGCCTCCCAAGCAGGGGCAGAAGGAGGTGGGGCTTCAGTAACTTTGCACACCCTTCCCCACATGTCCTAGTTTCAGTGCAGACACCAAGGGGGAAACCAGCTGCAGAGCCACCACCCAGCCAGCACTCTGCACCACAGACAACCGTTCTCAAAGGCCCGCATGCAGCACGGAGAGCACTCTCCAAGCTCAGGGTAAGCAATGAGCAGTGGTGCTTTTCAGTCTAAACTCCAACTCTGGAGATCCAGGCAGAGCCTCCTGGAGCTGCCTGGATCACAGCCACCACCACTCACTTCACAGACGGGGAGAGTGACGTCCGGAGAGGGCGACCTTGTTGCCTCTCTCACTCCTTCTCTGCCTGACTCGCTCCTTCTCGCCCCAGGCTGGTGCGATGCCCTTCTGTGGCTCCAGGTGCACACCTTCATTGCAGCGCTGTCTATACTCTGTCACACTGTGCCCTGAGTAGACAGGGAGCTCCCTGCAGGGCTTCTGCACTGGCTGGTGCTCCACAACGGCCTATAGGGCGGATGGAGCCACGCACAGCGAGGCGCCGGCAGACTCAGCGCACAGGGCCAGCCTGGCCTCTCTGGCTGCCAAGCCCAACGCCCATTTCCAGCAGAAGCTGTCCTGCCTCCAGTGCCTGCTCAGGGAAGCACTTCTCTGAGCCGAGGTACCCACTCCTGACTTCAGGGCCCACAGCTCCCGAGCGGGTCTGAGGTGAGGCACCAGTGCTAAGCCAAGTGGAGGTGCTCCCTGTGGGACCAGTACAGGAGGGTCTGTGGAGGACAGAGAGGAAGTGGAGCAGAATGCCCGAGAGAAGGAGCGGGGAGCTCCAGCAGAGATGGAAAGAGCACACGGACCCACGGCTGCCTCCCACACCTAAATGGTGACCCCTCTTTTCCTTGCAGAGCCCCGAGTCTCTACGCTTGCACCAAAAAGGCCTATTGAACACAGGCACGACGGGAAAAGACACTTTAGGCAGCCCCTGCTCCTTCTGCCACGCCAGCCTGCCAACAAACGCGGCTTGGGCCTAAGTGGCCCGCGGACACATCTGTTTCTGTAACCACACTAAACCACAGACTACAACCAAACTAAAAACCACGTCTTTGACTCGCAGTGTGCGAGGCCTGGTTAAGAAACAATTCTATTCGTCTCCAATCCCCCGTTTCCAATTTTGCTGCCCACCCACTGAATGAGCGCAGGAAGTAGCAGTCAAAGGTTAACGCTACCTCGAGGCCAGCGTTCTGGAATGGGATCCCCGGAGAGACAACTGCTCAGCCCCGGACCCACACCAAATGTTTCTTCCCACCCTCACTTCTCAAGATGACGGAAATCATTCAGACCAGCTCATGAGGCAGCTACCAAGTCTGCTCATTGAAATTGCATCCAATACTCTTTACCTTGCCGAATTGTTTATGAAAAATTCTGTTACCCAAATTGGTAAGCCTCTGTGAGCTTTAGCCCAAAGAAAAATGTTGAAAGAGATAGAAGGAGAAAAAGACAGAAAGTCAGTGTTACTTCTGACTGTGCCCTCATTCCACAGGCTCAGACGGAGAAGCTGTGTTAGGCCTGGTGGGGATGGCAGCTGCATGGACTGAGTGCGGGCCTGGGTCAGAGAAAGGGTGGAAGCACTCCACCCCCAGGGGAGCACGGCTCTGTCCTGGGATCCACCCGCCCTGGGATCCACCGGTAGATTCGCTTCCCAAAGGCACTGCACTCCCACAGCTCAGCTTCAGATACTGGAGGTGAGAACAGGTGAAAGAGAAACTATCCAGAACGAGTCAATGAGGTCAGTGACTGGGTCAGAGCTCACGCGCTGCCAGTGGAGAGACTCACCAGGAAGAGTGTGGGCTTGTTGTGGGGTGTGTGAGGCATAACAAATATTGCTTCCCACAAAGAGGTGCTTTGTTCTGTGGCAGGAATCAGACCTAGCCTCCTCCTTCAGGAAACACCCTCCAATGTGCATGACAGAGAGCTCATGACCTTCTAGACAACAAAGGCAAGGGTTTGGCTCCCCTCTGGCTTGGGTTATTTCTGGAGGACTGAAGAGGTGCCGTCCAGGAACAGCACCTCCAAGAAGAAGGAGACGACAGCCAGGGCGCAGCACGGCAACCAGCCTTGGCACTCCCCTGCCGGTGAACGCGGTGGCAGGCTGTGCTGGGGCCTCCATCTCGGGCCTGTTCTGCTCTGTCACACCTTATAAAGTCATAGGACTTTCTCAACACTAGAGTTCTTAGCCAAAGAGAAACCCCAGAACAATTTCATTGCCGATTTAAAGGCCCACGGCCTCAATCGGTTCCTGAGCTCTTTCTCATGGGCTAGACTGGGCCAGCGCTCGCTGGAAACACCACCACCCTCAGCAAAACCTTCACTTGGTTTGACTTTCTCTCTGCCGTTACACGTGCAGCCTTTCTGCCACAGAAGAGAAGCTCCCTTCACTGCGACAGTGCGGCTCTCACTAAGCACTGAAAACAGTACAGTCAGAGTTTGCTTCCCCCATGAGAGGTGTAAGCTGAGGCAGGCAAATGACAATCCCTGACTCAAAGTTCCCACCGCTCCCAACACTGGCCAGAACGAAGAACAGTCTGTCTCCACTAGACTGGTAGTCTGTCTACTCCCTCCCCCTTCCCTCCACACGTTAACACCCAGACCCTCCTGCTCAGATATTGTCAGAGAGAAACGACAACCAAAACAAAATATTTAAAAAGTTTGCCATGAGACAAAAATCCCTTCACAATGCACCCGCATTCCAGATGCAACGGCTGATGGAAAGGACGTGCGGACAGGGACTCCTACGCTGCAGGCACGAAGGGCAGCTGATGCAGCCATTCTGGAGCACAATTCAGGAAAGGGGAAGGTGCTCTGACCCAGCCGCTCAGCTTCTGGCTGCCTACCCCAGAGAAACCCTGCCACATGTCTGTGGAACAAGCCGACAAGCTAAAGGTCTTGCGGCAGGGGACAGATAACTACACCACGTCTTAGGTTTCTTACCGATGCCTCACTACCAGACTGACCCTCACTTGCGCCTCTTCAACCAACAGCCACTTCCTCAGATTCTGCTACTTCTAGAAAACGCACGTCTGATGGTTCTCCTGCTTTCCTCTCCACTATCTATAAAGAGGTATTTCTTCCTCTGCACAGGGAGGTGATGTTTGGAGCCCATCAGTAGGATCTGTCTTCCCTTTATTGTTCTCGTTGTGGAGCTCTGAGCACCAAGAGCTGTCCCACGCTGTCAACTTGCCCCGCCAGCCCAGCAGAGCCCAGCAGGGGCCGAGGCTCAGCCTCTGAATTGGGAAAAGTCGAAAGGCCGAAAGGCCGTGCAGAACAAGGAGAGAAACTCACTCCCAGGCTAATCTTCACAACAATTGACCTGGCCCATCACAGCTGATGAGTTAACAAGCAAATACGCTTAATCACTATTCACTTCTCCTGAAAATGACTGCCCTTTCCCAAAAAATAGCACCCTACAGTCATTTACCTTGTGACTCAGAAAAGCCCATTTTAACACTCAGATATAGGTCAAAGGCATTGTGCTAGCTTTATCTGATGATAAAGGACGTCTGAGGATAATTAGCAGACTTACAGAGGACCCGGATGATTACATTTTCAGACAAAAGCTCCCCACAGCAGGAGCCCAACAGGAAGTGGGGCTGCCCATCCTCAGCAGTTCTGAACAACCAAGTACGTCCCTAAGTTCTTGCCACTGAGTTACTGGAAGCAGTCTCCAATGGTGCTTAATAGGATGGCAAGTTCTACTTTCCCTGAAAAGACTGAGGGATGCTTGGCAGATACTTCAAACTGAATAAGAGAGCCTGGGGCTTGAGTGTCCATTTCCTTCTGCTAAAAATAGAGATACCACCTCTGGAGCAACAAAATGCAGAGAGCGGCTGCTCCAATTCATACCATGCTGCTTTTAGTTAGGAAAAGGGGCAGAGGAGGAGAGAGAGGAAAGGAGATTTCTTACACAGATTCCATTTCCAAGTCGTCTTCTTCCTGAGAAAGTTGTAGGTAGGGGTTATCTGAAGCTGGACGGAATTTATACCCCGTTAGAACAAAGAACACCAGCGTGGCCATTTCATCCAGGAGCTGCAAATTTAAAAACCACCCCCAAATAAAGGGATTAGCAACACTGTTCTTCAGAAAGTAGTGGAACTAAACAAACTGACACATCCCCCCGACAACCCACCACTTGCTGATCACTCACTCAAATGCCAGAGTGGACTGCTAGAGAGCGTTTTCTTTATATTTGCTGAACCCTCAGCCAGGGCCCAGAGATGACATTTAAGACTCCCTGCTTTAAGCAGAGTCTTCACTGGTACCTTTTAAGAGCTCATTAAATAACCACATTTCATACAATGCCTAAAGCACCAAATGAGTGCTTCAAGAAAAAAATCTCTAAATCATTTGGTGGATTACCCTAGTAGTTAAACTCATTCTAGTATACTGCAAAGACACTTTATTACTGAAATAATAATAATGGGCCAAGAAGACAGGAGGCCTGGATTCTAAGCTATTCTAAGACTTGTCACTGAAGGAAAAGACCCCTTCCCTCTCATCTAGGTGTAATTATACAGGGCAAATCTTTCTCTCTTGGCCTGAGGCTTTTCTTATCAAAGACTTTTAAAATTGAAAACTAAAATCAATAATGCAATTACTTCCAGATTTCTCACGTCATTCAGCAGGTTTTGCTGGACAAACAGATCATCTTAATTGTAGACCAGAAGAGATGGAAGGTTTTAGTGGCCACTGCCAGATAAGTTTATAACAACCTTAAGTTACACCCCAAGACATTCTCCTCAGACAAATTCTCTGGCGCTGTCCCCTGTGAGCAGCATACCTGGTAGAGCCACTTCCACTGGAACGGAACAGCAAGTTTGAGGAGAAACGCAATGATTCTGGTGAAGTATATGTAACATACGATCTGCACAAAGAGGAAAGAAACAAGAAATAAAATCAACATAGACGTTACGGCACCACTTTCTTCCAACAATTTGTTTTTACAAATTAACTACAAAAGAGAAAACAATCACCTGAAGAAAATTATTTGACACTTGTAGTGCTAATTAATAAGCGCGGCTGAGAGACGGCTACTCTGCTGGTGACAACTGGAAAACTCTCCTGTGTCTCTGGTGACCTCACCTCGGGGGGGAAGAAACTCGTGCAGCTGCCCCTACCTCCTGAGTGACCCCTTTCTCGTCCTATCGACACACACCACCCACTGATTAACCCCTACAGGCTAATAGTTTTCATTACTAGGCTCTGAGGAATGTTTGCCAGTAGTAATGGCAAAATAAAGCCACACAGGGGAAAAAAATACTGACTTGGAGTCTCTTGAGCAGATGCTATAAACATTCTAGGGCCATACTCAGAGGAAAGCGCCCATGACACTGAGCTCTCTAGGAAGGGAGGATGTGACAAGGATTCAACATGACGGCTACTCTAGTGTGCACTGCTCGCCGTGACGGTGCCCAGGGTGGCGAGGCTTGCAGGAGAACTGTTCAAGGTGACAGTCAATGCCAAAATCAGACAAAGACGACTCAGAAACTTCCTTTTAAAAAAGCAAACCCTAGAAGACCCATACCTTCCATATTCCAGGAAATTATGATCCTAATAATTTACAGCAAGTCCTGCCTTTGGTGTACGCTTATGTGGACTTTTCATGTCCATCATGGTCTTGCTTTTAGGTGTGATCCCATTTTTGTAAATAAATAAATAAAGTCAAAGGAATAGCTATGTGTGGCATATACCTAGAAAAGAATCTCGAGAAATAAGCACAAACTGTCAAAGGAATCACTCAAGGAAGAGGGGAAGGGGGAGAAGATCAGGACCATAAAGGGCTCTTCCTGTGTCTCCAGAATCCTGCATTTTAAAAATATCAAGCATGTATCACTTTTCTGAGTATTTAAAGCCAAATTTAAAACTAAAATTTAGAAAGAATAGATATTAATTTCCCATATCAGAAGACACAATTTGATTTTATAAAACGAAATCTACACAGCTCCGCACACCTTGTGCTTGCACCAGCTCTTGGCAAGTTCATTTGCTCTACTCCTTGAATTGACCTTATTTACAGATGAGGGATTTTTTTACTCACCAAGACGTAATAATGTCTGAAAAGTTTCAGCTTTGCTAAGTTAATAGCAGCTAGGAAGGAGAGAGAACAAAATGAAAGGCATGTTAACTTCTTTTCTCATTTCCAAAGCAAGTCGCACTCAGGCACCCTCTGTCAAGAGGCCACATCTATGCAGATGAGGACACCCCAGGGGCACATGGCAGGGTCTCCCCCACGCACCTGGAAGAACCAGGGACTTGTGGGAGCCGCAGGCTGGGGTTCCCAGCCCCACTGGTGTTCCGGTGCAGGCCTGCCCCAGCAAACCAGTGCATCTCCCCACTCCAGGTTCAGAGCTTTAAACCGGCCATGCTGGGGGTCTACTGCCACCACAGAAATTGGGGAACATGACAAATCAGGACTCCCTTGCCTCCCAAAAGCCATTGTTGAACATTTCAGCATGCCACTCTGGCTGACAGAGCTGCACCCTCACCAGGACCTGTCTCAGGTGGGTCCCTGAGCCCCATCTGGGGGAGCCTCCTACTAGCTGAGCGTGTAATTCAATTAACCCACAGGCGCATCTTGCAAATTTCATTCAGGTTTTCACTCTATGCCTGGTAATAAGCCCTTTACACGTGACCTCCCAGGCTTTATCCTACCTCCATGATGGCTCAAGGTCAGGGAGCCAGGACAGCTAACTTCCTGCCACCGCTTGTGGCCATGAAATATTGATGACCACAGAGGGCAGCCTGGCTCCCTCCCCGATTAGCAATCCTTTCATTCATCATAAACCTTCCAGCAGGAGGCAAATTAATTTTGCTTAATAGCATTCAATTACTGGTTCCATTTAAGAATGGGACTGTGGGTGGCGAGGGTTTGAATGTCCTCTTCCTCCCTCCTTTGGCTCATGATTAGTGGGGGCAATCAAGCTTAGAATTCCAAAAGAAATACCCGAATCCTAAATTAATCTTCAAGGTGATTATCAACTAACAGTATCTGTAAGAATCTCCTCTGAGAAACCGAATGCAAGGATGAGGGGAAGGTTAGAAAGTCTTTCAGGAAATTTTAACTTCCAGAATTTCGAGGCTGTAACACCCACATCTAGAGCTGCAACAGACTCGCACGCACGCAACATCTGAAGAAGCTAAACTAAAGCAGGCAGATCGGCAAAGGCTTTCTTATCTAGCACCCTCTCTGCTAGTCTGGTTATTTTCTAAATTAAATCTCTCTGGTTCTCTTGCAGTTTTTCATTCAGGTCATCTCTGGCCAGGCCCCGGGATGCAGCAGTGACCATGGCCGCCAAGGCCTCTGCCCCAGGGGTGCCTGCCGTCCCTCAGGGAAAGATAGGCGCCAGAACCACCAGCCAGCTAAGTGCCCGCAGAGCACTGGTGATCCCAGCATGTGATCGGCACTCTTCCTCCTCGTCTGAGCTGGGGGAGAGGCTTCACTGAGGACAAAATATTAGAAGTGTCGGATAAGTAAGTGACCATGGATTTAAAACTTCACACATTTGTATGGACAAGTATTCCATCTGTGTTCCTTTTTGTGTGTGCCCCCTGCTCACACTGGCAGTGGTCAATGAAATGGCTCGCTTACACCGTACTCTGCTCGCAAAACCAGCCAGCCCTCGGAACTGTGGTCTTCCCAAACGAGCTACACAGTTCTTGAATATGAGCACTCAATTCTCTTCTTTGTCAATAACCGAGAAAGAACAGCGCCAACAATTAGACCATTTAAATAATAAAAATGCTTTAAAAGTCTCTCTGAATTTTGAAATAAATCGCTCCTGCCCTTGCCTCAGGAAGAACCATCAGCCCGACAGAGAGAGAAGTGCCACATTTTTATTCCTGGATTTCAGGATGCCATGACAAGATATGCATGGCTGCCACAGCCACAACCAAGGAAGGGCTACCAACCCAGACCACGGGGACAAGGGGTGAACGGGAGGATTCCCATAGGAGGCAGTGTCTAAGCCGAGGCCTGACCGGGGCGCAGGAGGGAGCAAGAGTGGAGAGAATGCTCAGGAAGAGCATCACGCTCAGCCAAGACCAAGCAGCTCAGGGTGGCTGGACACGGAGGCCCGGGAAGGGGCTGGGCCGAGAGCAGAGCCAAGAGCTGTCCTCCCTGCCGGTGCCGAGGCCCCAGGGAGCCTCTGAGGGTTTGAAGCAGGGCCGGGCCTTGATCACATCTACGCTGTAGAGCAATCTCTCTGACGAAAGGATGGAGAGAATCACGAATAACAGCCCAAGTGAGGTCAAAAGCCTTGAATGTGGAGGTCCCTCGAAAGGCGGTGAGGTATTTCTCTGCCGTGAAGAGCAGTGGGTGGTGCAGCGAATGACAGGCTGAGCCTGTCCCCGTGGTCGGCCGGGGAAGACGGAAGGCAGCAAGGCAATGCAGCTGGGAGACCAGAGAGAACTCTTCAGGTGGAGCTGATGGGCCCCCCTTTCAGGGGTGGGGAGAGCTGACGGAGAGCAGCAGAGGGGCTGAGGCACTGCAGGCCTTAATGGGATAAGACACGAGTGTGGGGCGTGAGAGGAAGGGAGCGGAAGGCACTGCCTCTGACATCTCCCTGGTGCCGTGCGTCACGCCCCCAGGCTGACTGTGAGACGCTCTGAAGTGAGGCAGCCTTGAAGCACTTTAAAAATGAGCCTGGACACCCACAGCCAGGCAGCCAGGCAGCAACACCAGCACAGGCACTGACGCCATGCCATCCCAGGCGCGTGCCGGGACTGACAAACGGACCTTGGGAACAACCAGGACTGTCTCCAAGAACCGCAGCCACGATAAGCAGAGTTCAAGGTCGATTCCAACACCCACCAGTCACGACAGACATCATTTCTAGTCACAAGTAAGACATCTGTTTATGAGACTGCTGGCCATGGGATTAGGCTCCTGCGTCTCACATGGGTGTTCTAGCCACAGCCGAGGCAGTGGAGGCACGGAGCAAGCTTATTTATGGGAGTAAGAAACAGGAGTGAGAATCAGTGCAGGCCCTGCACATTCAAACATCTTGGGTTCAAATTCCAACTCTGCTGCTTACTGGCTGTGTGACCTCAGATAAGTCGCCTAACCTCTCTGAGCCTCAGTTTCTTCATCTGTAAAACAATAACAATACCTACCACTAGAGTTGTTGGGGGAATTAATGAGACAGGACATGGAGAGCAAACAGCACACAGTAAGCACTCAATGAATGTCTGACGTTACAGTATCAGGGTCATACAGTATTACCAAATACCAAACGTGGCATATACTGTGTTACAGCAGCTGCCACATCCGGCAGGAATCCAGCCTCTAGTAAGTAACACTGGAACGAGTGGTGACCTGGGGACCGCCAGAGAGCTCTGGGCTCTCCTGGAAGCATGCTGCCACACGCACACGAGGAGTCCGCCTGCTGAGCAGGGGACGAACCAGCTCCGGAGGGTGAAACTGCAGAAGCATTACGCAAGGAGCCGTGACGCCCCGGGTCGCAGCCCGGAGTCCCCGGCCTCCCTTCGCTTTTTTTCCAAAAAAGCCTTTCCTGGAGTTAAGAACGCTGATAGCTTGCTGCTCACTGGACCAGGGCAGGGCCGGGCTCCCACGGGAGTGAAGGCTCGCCAAGCCTGGGCTAGCTATTTCCGACCCCACCATGAGGAACAGCAAATATGGTAAAAGAATGAGCACGGTGAGAGGGAGAGTGCCTCGGATGGGAGCCAGGAGACTGAAGTCCAGTCCCTGCACCACCGTAACTCAGTGTGCCTGAGCCTGGCCCGCCACTGCCTTCTCGGGGCATCCGTCTCCTCGTATGGAGAAGAATTCTTTACAGAGGATTAGAATTTCCTTACGGCGATGGTCCTTACCTGGGGTGAGCACCAGAATCACCTGGAGAGCTTATTTAGCACAGATGCCCAAGCTGCCCCCCTTCTTACGGAACCGGGCCCTCCTATAAGGATTGTGAAAAACCTCCCAGCGAATGGGGAAGGAGAGAGGAGGGGAGCAGGGAGAGCGGGCACGCACAACTGCTTCACAAGCTCATGCAAGGCTGGCCTCCTGCTGTGGGAGTCCTCCTCCTCCTACACGCTCTCAGGAAAACAGCCAAGACTCTGGATTTTGGCAAGTACTTTTTACTGAGGAGAAAAGAAAAAGTGTCCAATGAGGCAGGACATGCCCAGCCTTTCAAATGCTTAACAAGTCAGTGCTCTCTCTGACTCAGCGGCAAAAGGGCAAACACCCCACCTTGAGGAGGCTCCTTCCCTAGATTTTCACTTGTCTTCTTTAAGCCAAAGAGTAACCTGCAGGCTAGCAAGAAGACAGATCGGCCCCTTCCTCCTCAGAGGTCTTCCCTGGATCGTCTCGGAACCATGACAATAAATACAAATAATAGTGCTGGTCACCACCATCTACTGAGTGACAAGCATGTGCCAGGCTCCAGGCCAGAAACCTTCCATACTCCATCTCCTGTAATCCTCACAGGAGCCTCTACGAGGGAGGGGCATAGTCACCACTGCCTTACAGATGAAGGACGCAGGCCTGGAGAAGCTGAGAAAATTATCAAGGGCACATAGCTTGTAAGTGGAGAAGCCAGTATTCAAACCCAACTCCACCTCCGACCAAGGATCAAGCTCTTAATGCCTATGCTTTGCGCTAAGAGAAAAGCCATTCATAGCTCTGTAATCCACCGGCAGCTCAGGGCGACGTGATCGTGGCTCAAAATGCGGGGCAATGCCAGGAGCTGCCAGCAACCCATCCTGAGGAGTTAACACTGGATGATCTACAGGACACAGAGAGGCAAAGGTCCGCGACGGCCACTCAGAGGGTGAAAACTTTCCACAACAACCCTTCCCCAGGTGCAAGGAAAGGCTTGAGGCTTAATAACATCCCCACCTACCCATCATGCTTTTCTCCTGCTGCCTCCCTGCCGTGCTTCAGAGGGAATTTTGAGTCAAACCAAAAATTAAAGAAATAAGGATGACGGCAAAGCCTGGATGGCATTAGAATTCGCTCTGACTCACTCTCAACCTTAGCATTTCCACAAGCTGCTTAAGCTGCAGGCTCAAGCTCACTGCGCCTGTGGGACGGGGCAGCTCCCCCTATCCGTGGTCAAGGACAGGCCTGAAAG